ATTACTTCAGAAATAAAGAAAGACTACTTATGAAAGAATAATTCCATTGTCCGGGCAATCATAAACAAATGTACCTTTTTTAATTCTAAATATCGACTTCGAATCAAACAAAACGTTATAAATGAATATTATTTTTGGTCTTTTGCATAGAATGAGAAAACTTATGCCCTTTAAACCGTTCAACAGGAAGTAACCTTTTGTTAGTTTACGTAGCTATGCGTTACACTAATTACAAGTTTAAGTACCTAAAACCAATATTTTCTTAAACAAATGTGAAGTAACTTATTATACAAAACCTTAAGTGACTTTTTGTAAACCGGAAGTAGCAAATTTCTCCCCTTATTTCAATCAATTCAAATGTACAATTAAACCATACATTTTTGGAATCATTGTAAAGTAATCTATTATTTGAAACCGGAAGTGATTTTGGGTATTTATACCTCTTTTTTAAAAAAAAGTAGCTTGAATTGTCTTATTTTGGAATCAGTAAAACATAAGACATATTCTGTCAATGACACTGCGGAAGTTATTATTTTCCAATCAAAGATGTGATTTGAGGTAAAAAGACATCAATTGTTCCTTAACAATCCAAATATTTTTCCGCCACCATTTAAGTTTCTTGCATAGGATTATGATTTCGTAATATGTTGCTTAGATATTTGGTATATGGTAACGATCAATTTTTACATTTTTGAAACTGACACTGTTTAACCAAACACTTGCCCTTGTAAGATATAATATTTTCCTGCATACTTGTTTTTCTTGTTATCACAACACCTTCGCAACTGTATAATAAGAGACCGACAAAATTAGTTTTTCCAAATTGTGTGGCATCCTCAGCATGTTGAAAATATTTCTTCCCCAGAAATCCGGAAACTTCGTATAAGAGTCTTTTCCCTTGATGTATTTGATATAAGTGATATGCATTTATAATTGGTTAACCATTATAAGTGGAAGAGACCTAGGGTCTTTTGGTCTGAAATTATTGGGCCACAAAAATTAGGTCAAGGTCATGTTTTAAATTTTTACATTTGCTTGTTCTCGTTATAT